TCCGGTTTTTAAGGTTTATGTGCTTGATGCTGGTCTGTGAAGATCATTTACAACTTGGCAGAGTGGGTGAAACACGCATCCCGTGCAGAGCAGGGCTTAGCACCCACCCAGCCCGGGTATCAAGAACCACAATGGGAAATCAGGACTACAGGTTTCAGCACCAGTGAAATGGGACCTAGAGGGCCAGGGTGCAGGGACACACTTCTGTGCAGCACTACAGAGCAAGGCAGCCAGGAATATGGCTTATCAGACCACTGAAGGACCACCCATCCCATGCATAGGTGTCCTTCAGGTAGGACTGAGGAGCCACAGCAGTCTCTACCTGGATCCCCCTCTCCCTGCAGCCAGGACACTGGACCTGGGATTGCCCGCAGTCTCCAGCTGTCATGAGGGTCCCTCTGGCCCAGCACAGCTGGCATGAGACTCAGCTCCAGAGCCACAGGAGTAAGGTTTATGGTGCTTAGAGGCATTTGGATGGCCACTTCCCATTCATTTCAGTGCGATGTAGGCTGGATCTACAGTAAAGCTCACAGAGCGAGTTCCAGCTGTGCAAGGTGGATGCTCTGCGTCCAGTTCAGGGGGCAGCCTGCGAGAAGCAACACCACAGACTCCTGACAGCAAACGTACTGGAGGAACCCGGCCTTGCACACCCATGCACTTCTCAGAAGATAGGCCTACAGTGCTGTGACACTGAGGGATACAAGTACTGCAAATGGCAGAGCACCAGTGATGTGAAACCACTCCTGCCATCCCACATACTTCCACCTTGGCTACCCTTGGTACCCAGCAACAATAGATGAGGGGCTCAGCCAAGTGGGGTTCCTCACACCAGTGAGGCAAGGGGGGCACAGCGGGTCCTGCGACTAACTCGACAGACTTCACTGGCACTACTCTGCATTGATACTGGCCTACGAGACTCCTACAAGGCAGGGGTGACAAAGCAAGCCAAGCCGCTCCATGTGCAGCATCTAGCACCACGGGGCCCTGGTCCAAGGGTCAGACTTCCAGGCATTAACAATAATCACTCAGCACAACTGTGCTTCTTTCCATCGCCAGGCTCTTGAGAGGCTTAATCAGCATGTCTACACCTGCTAAGATCATCACATTTCCCCAAAAATAGGTTTGGAGGAAAGCAGAACAGCTTGAAGAGCAATCCGTGGCAGGGGAGAATTAAAAATGTGCTTCTTGAGCGTTTTGTTTTAAGTCTGCCTACCGAGGGCTGTATTCAAAGCTGGTGGGAGCTGGTATAGCAGTGACTAGAGAGACACCCCCAACAACTGAAACTCTGGCCCCACCAGTTTTTAAAGAAAAAAAAAATTGGCTTCCCAGGAGCTGTCCGGGCCAAGATGATAGGCAGCGGCTGTTCCCGACTTGCAGGATATGCACACGAGTACGAAGAGGAAACTGCGTTGTTCTCTGCTGGCAAATGCTGCTACATTTCTGAACTATCTCATTTTTGACATTACAAGGAAGTAAGCACAAACCTGCTCAGCGACATTGTTCACTGCTAAGCCTTTGCTTGCTGGATGGCAGAAAAGAGTCCCCGAAACCAGTGAGAGGGGAGGGACTGCCTGATGCCTTTCAGTAACACACTGGGCACAGCCGCATAAGAGCGTTTAGCCAGCTAAAAGGCTAGCAGAAGCCACACGCAGAACAGGATTTCAGTTGACTGCAGTTAAAGATTTGAAGCTGGCTAGTGAGGCTATGTGCACGATCTCTGGAAACCCAGCCCCAAGCCTGGTGCGGCTGCCGCTTTTCAGTCTCCAGCAAGACACAGAGGCGGTAAATCCAATACTCTGGATCCTCATTCAAGAGATTGCTTTCTGCCTACCTAGACCCCTCCTCTTCTGCTGCTTGTTCCAAGTCGCTGCAGACGCCCGCTGCGCTCCGTGTCCCAGCCGATTTTCCGCTTTAAAGGCAGCTGCTTTCCAGTGGCTGCCGAAGTGAAACCAGTCTGAGAAGGATCCTGTGACCCTGCACAAGGCAAAGTCCTCCGCCTCCTCCTCCCACTCGCCCTTGCCCACCTTAGAGAAGTGGCTGGCATAAGTAGTGCTGCTTTCACGTAAGCGGGGGGGGGGGGGGGAGGGGGGGGGGGGGAGGGGGGGGGAGAAAGAGGGAGACCCAAGACATATATAAAGAGAAAAGAAAAAGAAACGTACTGACATAACACTGCAAGCCAGATCCCTTCAACTCACACTGCTAAGCCAGTGGTTCTCACTTTTCGGGCTCATGTACCTCCTTGTAAGTTGGTTATCCTGCAGTGGGCAGTTATCAGTCTCTGTTATGGATAACAGGTAAAAGAAAACACAAAAAAAACAAAAATCACTTGGTCTTTCCACCGCATTGGAGCTTCTCCACCCATCTAAAAAAACTGTTGTGTTTTTCTTCACTTTCTTTCCCCTCCACTTACATTCCCCTTTCTTCCGCTTTCCTTCCCCTCATGTACCCTGTAGATCAGAGGCAGGCAATTATTTTGGATGGAGGGCCGCTTACTGAGTTTTGGCAAGCCTTCGAGGGCCACATGACAGGCAGCCAGGGGCAGATAAATATTCAATTTTCTACGTTTTTAGGGGCCCTGCGGGCTGCACAGAATGGCCTGGGGGACCACATCCAGCCCGCGGGCCGCATTTTGCCCACCCCTGCTCTAGAGGCTTGGGACATCAACTCCAGGGCTATAGGTACCCCACTTAGAGAAATGCTGTGCTCAATCAACTACCTCATCCTTGAGCAAACTCTTACATCAACACAGCTGTGGTTTCTCTTCCTTGCTGTTTCACTAACACCTACCCTGTGCCCCTAAAAAAACCCCAAAAACCTAGAGATTATTTGCTCAAAAAAATTGTTCTACTTTTCTTTGCTTATTTGCTTAGAGCAACACATGTCTGGAAAACACAGGGTCCCTTTACATCATGTTATTTAGCATTTTCCCCTTGGTAAAGACAGAGCATGAATTACTCAGAAAATGAAAGGGGATGTGAAAGCTGCATGTCTTTCTACAAAGGAGAGTGTTTTGCTGTAAGAGACTCCAAAATTTCAAACCACTCTTCCCAAGGAACAAGTTTGGAAATCCCCATTTGTACCCTCTCTGCTGTTTGCTAAGGAAACCAGATGTCTAGAGCTGGCCAAAACAGTGATCTCAGTCTTTCTTGAGAGAGTGCTTTTTCATGAGTCATGGAAAGCAACAGCTCGTTGCTTTGGTAATGCTGGATAAGCATAAGATCTTTCACACACACAGCAAGACCTTCAAAAAAATATTTCTTAACATATTACACAGGAGATGGTCCAAAACAGAACTGCATTCATGACTGCCTCTATACTCGAAGGTCCCGTTTCAAGCTGGAAGGAGCTTCAGATGCTGTTCAGAGTCTCTCAAGAAGAGGCACTCCAAATGCCCACCTGGCCCTACCTGTGGAGCACACAACTCGGGTCCACACCAAAGCTAGATACAGGGAAATACAAGCACCCTCCTCCACGGCAGACCGAGGGCTGAAGGGGAGGCACAGAAGCAACAGACAGGATGGGGGTGGAGGAGAGGGAAAGTGTGATACCCCCTTCCATCAGCCAGAGGGAACAGGGAATGAATAGACATCCTCTAGCCCCAGGTTGACATCTTGCCAGAATCCCAGTGCCCCAACCCCTGGATCTCATCCGTGACTCCACGTGCTTTATTTTGCTCAGTCCTTGCTAGCAAGTTTATTGAGGAATTGAGTACATTTTCCAAACCTTGCAACTGTGATAACATGGATACAAGCTTCTGGCAGAGCAAGACGAGAAAGAACTAGACTTCGCCCACTGGCATTTGAGAGACTCAAAGATAAATGCATTTAGTCTGCATACACAGGGAAGGCGTCTGCCCACCTGTCTTTGTGTTAAGTCCTCCTCTTTCCCCATCCCACAATGAAAAAAAGCTGCAGAGGATGATGCCACATAAGGCATCACGTTACTTAAAAATAAATAAATAAATACAGCCAAAGGGGTGGATAAGTTTAACAACGCAGCTTAGGCCACCAAGCAAGATAGGGAAGGGCGGTTTTCTTCCAGCTCCCACTGCCAAGCTCTCTGGATGTCTGCTCCTATATGATACCTTTGCCTGCTGATATGGGATTTCAGGGAATCCCTCTGAAGTCAAAACTGTTGCTCTCTACCATCTCTGGCTAGGCAACTCCGTCTCGTTAAGCAATGGCCTGGCCTCAGTTATTTGGGCTTATCCCCTTTCAGATGGGCTGCAGTAATCTGGTACATGCAGGCATGAAGTCTTCAGTGCTTAGGGAACTCCAGCTGGTTCATAGGGCTGCAGAGCATCCCTTTAGTAGCACAGAAAATATCATATTATACATGTAGCGCTGCCTGGGCAGCCTCCACTCCTCCATACTCCTGCCTAGGCATATCTGTCGAAGGTCTCATGACCTCTCACGCACACACCATGTCTGGAAGGACTGACGGCTGCCATCGTGTCGTGTAGCGCTCCTCCGTGCAGGAGAGAGGTTTAACTGGACCCGTCGAACACCGTGGAACGCACTTCATCGGGAACTAAGGGCTATTACAAACTTATCCAAAGGCAAGTTCCATTTCTCCGGCCCATATTTAAACAATGCAAAACAAGAAGTGTTCCCCACACACATCTCCTTTTGGAGACGAGAGCGCAGCCAGGCAGCAGCTGTCAGCCACTGCTGAGCACGCTACTGGAAGGGACTTGCCCATTAGTGACAGGTCCCAATTATGGCAGGCCATTAAACAGAGCAGAAAGGCCTGGCATGCTCAGGGAGCTGCCTGGAGTCAGTGGGAAATGCATGAACCCACGGGCCGAACCTGGGTCCCTTCTGAAGGTGACCTGAACTAGCTCCACACCTGTCGATTCAAAGCACCTTTCCCCTTTGTCTTTGGGCAGCTTCCAAAGACATAAATCCCCTCGGGCAGAGATAAAACGCAGACGCAGCTGCCCACACAACCCACAAGGATCGAAGCGACTCGTGCCCGGCCTGAGCACGGTCAGTAAATACCTGTGTTCTCCTGGCCGCTCTCCTTCAGCTCACCGTCCTCCCCAGAGGCTCCTGGCAGGGAAGAAGCCAGCACCCGCATGTCCTGAAAGTTAACAAACCCTGGGTCAGTCAGTGCAAGCTCAACAGTTAAAACCCCTCCAGCAACAGCCTCTCCAGGATGGCTGCTCAGGCACTTCTGAAAACAGAGGCAGGAAGATTCTGTCAGCACCACTCCCCGGTTTGGAAACCCTGGGCCTTTACCAAACAGGAGCGAGTCCCATGAGGCAGGGGAAGCCAGCACAGGACAGAGGGGTGATGTGTGCCCTGCAGGACTCACTTTCCTCCCCCCCCACCCCGTGCATTAGCTGCACCATGTACTAACTCCATTTCCCCCGTGCAACAGCCCCCGCTGGAGTGCCACAGTGCCAACGCAGCAGTGATTTCTCCTCAACAGGCTCCAATGTCACGGGTGCTTCCAGACCTGTGACTACCAGAAATATTGGTGCAAGAGCTGGCCATCATCCTCTGCCCCTGCTGCGCTAATGGAGCCAAGTGTCTTGCTGCTTTGGCTTTTCTGGCAGGAACCCAACATATTCTCCCTAGAGAGAGAAGGAGCTTCCAATCACCGGCCAAGAGACACAGAGAATGAGACACCCATGCTGTGTGTTGGCCCTTTGCACCTCGGTGTTTGGAAGCACAGCACACGGGGCAATCCCAGCATGTGAAGTTATTTCAGCGACCCATGACGCACACCTGGGAGCCTCGGAGGTGTGCAACACTTGCGCCTGATAAGACTAGGTGCTGATCAAAGGTCAAAGCAACCGGAGCTCCTCTGCTCCATGGCCCCACTGGATCTCTTAGGCTCAGCAAGGTGGAGCAGTCAGCCCTTGGATGGGAAACCCAGGTAAAAGGGAGGTCCTTCAGGAAGCCATGTGGTACTCTCCTTTTGCAGTCACCAGTGACCCAGCTTGGCATAGGGAGCAATCTGTTATCTCGTGGTCCTGGTGGAAAACGGGCACAGAGCAAGCAGAATGCCTGCCAGCACCCCGGTCTGGACCTGTCCCTCTCCAGTGCAAATGTGGATCAGAGCCATCTTTGCAAACTGGATGGAGGAGTCCCAGGCCACAGGTCTACAGAGGGAGGCAGCCAGCTGGGGTCCCCTAAGCTGTCTGGCAGAAGCCAGCCCCTGGATCTCTGCCAGCCATAGCCAAGAGCAGAGACACGCTCCGATCCTTGGAGGGAGCCGCGCTGGCTGTCATTGCAGCGGGTCCAGCATGCAAATTCACAGTGACACTTGTGTTGCATGCAAAGTTGCTCCCAAGTCACCAGGGCCAAACCCACTTTGCTGGAACGAGCCATAACACGTCCCCGGCTACATCACAGGGACCAGCTGCTGGAGCACAGGACCAGCTTGTGGGTTTTGTGGCTACGCAGAGCTGTTTTCACAGGATCCTTTCAATTATTTAAATCACTGTTTAGCAGGAAGGAAGGGGGGGAGGGGGCAGAGAGGAGCATGGTTCAACAGCTGTGAGCCATGCTCAGTCTGCTCATTAGTGGCCCAGTTCTGCAGCAGCCACAACTCTTGCTAAGAGCTTACAGGGTCAGGGTCTTCACTGGAAGCACAGCATCGCTAGGACCGTGCTTGCAGATGGAGTGCAACTGGCTGCAGAAAGGCATGCGACCGCACCCTGCAGTCAGCACCAGACAAGTCTGAAAGCCAGGATCTTGAACCTCTGCAGTCAAGTGCAATAAGCCAAGTGCTCTCGTGGAAACTTCCACAGGTCTGTTTGCCAACAGCCTAGACAAGAAATACTGGACCACCGTGCCTATTCTTCACCCTACTCCTGCCCCTCAACCAGCAGTGGCATGAAAAGGGCCAAAACACCAGAAGGGCTTTGCACAGGCTCATGACCAGCTGCCTAGATTTCCAGAAAGCTGCTCATTGAGGAAAGGTTTCCAATTGGGTGGATCAATATAGTCCAAAAACACCAACAGCCTTGATAGAGAGGCGGTGACAGCTTTTTGCTTTCCTCTAGTGGGACCAGCCTGCATGAAGGGAGCTTGCCCTAGTGTCATGATACATACACATGCGGCACTGGTGCAATGCAAGTCATTGGACTGTGGAGACCAGTCCAGCTCAGCTTAGCATCCATGCCAAAGGAAGCTGGGGAGTAATGCACAGCCCATCTGAATGGAGTTAAACTAATGTGAGTTCCTCCAGCAGGGACATAGCCAAATCCCCAGGCTCTGGTTTCAGAGCAGCAGTATTTCCAGGCTCGCACACACAGATGCTTTGTGATGGGCACCTTCTGCCCAGCCACCCAGGTCTAGTCCCATGTCCTACCTGGAGCATGTACAGAAGTGGCACGCTGCTGGCACCAGCCTGCTATCTGTTCTCAGTAGCGTCCACAGCTTAATAGGCTCGGACCAGTCTCGCCCAAAGGGACAGTCCTCACTCACAGTCCAATGGCAGGCAGAAACTGGTGACAAAACAGTCCAACAAAAGGGATTCTCCGCAGAAACTCACCCCTTGCTGTCCCACTTCCTTTACTGGTAACAAACATCTAAGCATAGACCTCGTGCTACGCTCTCTGCCCAAGCTGAGCTGCTCCTAGCTATTCCCCGACTTCCTCAGCCCCAGACGCTAGACTCCCTCTGCCCAGCAGAGGCTCCAAACTTTCTTCCATGCTGATTGGTGCTGGGATCCACTTGACGGCAGAAAGCATCCAGCATCCTTTTGCAGGGTGCTAGCACCTTGCTTCAGGGCAATCCCACGCAGGACCCTGTATGGGAATTCAGGGTGTCTATAATGGGATACTGCCCATTATGGATCAACTTCAAACTGTATTTTTCCATTATGCTTGGAAGAGTTTTTCCATGAGGGTAACTTTCCTGGTCCACTGCCAAAATGAATGCATTACACTTCCACCTGCTCACATCATCACACAGGCCTGATTGGCTACTTTTTCCCATCGAAGTAGCCTCAGCTCCATTGTAAAATCCTTTGTGTATGGAACCAGCCCGCGTCTGGAGTCAGATGCTGGGTAGCTGTAAATCCATGGAGCAATTGCTGTTTACAGCCTGTCTGAAGACCAGACTCAGAAGGTGGCAGAGGCTATCCTGGCATTACATATTGCACATCTAGTATCATGACAACAACTCCTTGCTCGGTGGTTTATATACCCGTTGTGGGCATGGCAGGCCTTAAGAGGCTTCCCCCATCAGAACCACCATGGATGAGTAACTGAGTTTGCTGCCAAAGCCCTGAAGCTCAGCTCAGCCCAGCCCTCCACCAGCACCCCTTCAGAGCAGGCTGAAGACCCACGATGGTTCAGCATGGGGGAAGGATACATAAAGCTTCTGCTCATCCTAAACCTCCTGTTCTCTGGACAAGCCGGAGGCTTCCCTCCCTGCAGCTGCATCATTCACCAAGACATTTTAAAATGACTTTCCAAAACACCGGGCTCTTTCCCAAAGCAGCTCACTCCAGCATGGTGGGACACTCCTTTCCAAGAAGCCACACCCCTGGCTGCAATGCCCAGTACAGAGAAGGGGCTCCCCGGTCCCCTTATGATGACACTGAAATAGTGCAGCAGAACATGCCCATGCCCAGATAGCTACCACACACATCAGGCAAGTAACAAAGTGACTCCAATCTCTGCCTGGGCTTGGTATTTTGACCATCTCTGCAGAGGGTTTGATCTGGGATGCAATCCCCATGGAGTACAATGCTTCATACGAGAAGCAGCCCCACTTTTTCCAGGATCAGGCCCTTATTGTTTAGCATGTCCCAAGCCTGCCATGGCTGGACATGCACTGCACACACCACCAGCTGGACTTCATCCCACACAACTCCGAGGCTCTGAGCCAAACCCTGCTTCAGCTCCACCCTCCTGCCACCCAGCTACTGTGGTTTCTCCTCCCTGGGCTACCTCCGACCATCTCCCAGCCCACGGTGCATGCGACAGGAGAGGCTTTAATTACACTGATAAATCGTTCCTCACTTTAACACAGGGGACACGGTGCTGGAGTTCTCTCTCGATCGTGTCTATGCAGCAACAAAACGGGTGCTCTTAAAATAGCAGCAAAGACCAGGAAACTTGGATTTTGGCTCAGGTTCAGGCCTGCAGGGCAGCCGGGCTGCTACCTGGTGTTAAAATCCTTCTCTTCTGACTCCCCCTACTAATGTAGACAGACCCCTAGTCCACAGGGAGCTATTCCCAAGTAAGAATGTCCAAGGATGTCCGCATCAAGCTGTGCAGGTAGCATTTCCTCCCCACCCCGCAAAACACTACCTCTGCCTCAGCTCTAGCCAAGGTACCAATAGGCAGCAGCACAAATGTGCACTCAGGTCTGGATGAACCATCCCACTTTCTCAGCAGGCCTACCCAACACCTGCACCTACAATGCCAGCTCCTCATCTAGTCACAATCCTAAAGCTGCTGAGCAAGAGAAACCTCTTCCTTCCCTTTCTGGGAAGGGGAAAGGAAAAGAAACAACATGCAGCAAGTGTTGGTCACAACGCTGCATCCATCGCTAGAAGACATCCCACCAGGACACTGAAGGATACTTTACAGATTGCAAATGGTGTTGATGCTATTGTATGGAAATGAAATTTTCACATGTCTGTGGAGTCTTTCTTCTGACAAGCTCAAAGGACTTTATAGTCATTAATGCTGCCTCACCATTCCTAGGCCCATTGCACCTGCTATCATAGGCCCATTTGCAGACATGAACACTTCGGCACAAAAAGGTACGTGGGATTTGCCCCAACGCCATGAATCCAGAGACTCGAACCCAGGAGTCCTGACGTTTGGCCCATGCCTGCTGGCTTGCCACCCCTGTTCCTCTGCACCGTGCAATGCCGCAGCCTCAGTAAGGGTCAGCCCTGGTGCTCAATTCATAGCGAGCTCTGAAAACTGGCACTTGTTCAATATAGATGACAGCAGCAAAAGAAATACAATCCTGACTGGCAAGCTCTGCAGCCCCAAGACAGAAACAGCTGTTGCAGCGGCAGGTGAAGGTTTAGAGCCAACTGCATTGTAACAATCCATCTCCACAGCTGCAAGACACGTCCTTCCTTTGATCCATCCCTGAAGGGAGTCGCAGAGGAGCGTGATCGGTCATTTCATCTCATATTGCTCACATTTCTAAAAAATTAAAAATCTGAGGCTGACGGTAAATTTATACCCGCTGCCAGATTCAGGGTTTAGTGGATCACAGACAGCTTTCCGGGAATAGTGAATATTGCCTGAGGTCTCGGAGAAGAAAAAAAAAATTACCGAGTTGAATTCCAGATCTCCCCCCTTCTTACTCATATAATGTATTTTCCATCTGCTGGGTGGGCAGTGTGCGTTCTGTACATTTTTGGCTCTCTGCTCAGTTCGTACTTCATGAGCACAGGGGAGATAGAAGAAGGGAGCCGGGAGCACAGTCAACTATTTACACTGGTGATAGCCCTGCTGTTGTCAAACACGGAAGTAAGTGCTGGCCCTGTATACACTCCTTCCCTCCCAGGAGGGGTTGCAGTCACGAGAGGACTCTGGAGTGAGCTGAGAAGAGTCGCGCTTAAAAGGCTATTTCTGCATTTGCAGGTAGTTTTCATGGAGCAGGCAAGAAAGGGAATAGGGAGGAGGGTCAAGTCAGCTGGAGTTTTCAAGCCCATAATCTTTCTATACTCTATTAATATGCAGAGAAGTGAGTCTTTCTTTCCTTGGGCATCCACCAGTTCAGCACGCAAAGCCCTCTGGAGCCCCGGGTAACTCCTGACACCCACCAGCCTCAGGGGTAGGAGGTAAGGATGGTAGGGAAGATCCAGGTGAGATGCCAAGCCCACCACACTGTACAGCCCTGCCTGTTCTCCCCACCTTGGCTGGAATAGAGAAGGAAGCACATTCCCCCTCACCCACTACCTAGGTCGATACATGGGGGAGGGGGGGAAAAACAACCCTAAAAAGCTACAGGAATCATTTTAAAAGACTGTAGAAAAGCACCTTTAAATCCATATTCAGGCATGTCCCCCCACCCATGTCCAACAGAAATTCTTTTAAAGGCTGGAAACCCCCCAGAATCCAATGCACCCTGCACTGCCGTACAGGTGAGCCCTGTTCTGCATTGGTCTCATGGGAGATGAGAACATGATAGGGAAGAAAAAAAAAAATCAAGGGTAGCAGAGAACTGCAGCCCTAAGTTGCTTGTGGCCAGAGCTCAGCAGCTGCAAAGCAGTTCAGCTCCCGCAGCGTTTCTGAGCGCCGGCTTCAGGCATCTGTTCAACTGCTCCGAATAAAGTTTCTGTCTGGGAGCTGTGTTAAATTGTGCACAGGGGCCAGAAACTTTGGAAATGACCATGACCAGGGTTGCTGCCTGTGTGGAACAGCTATGCTGAAACCCCACAAGCACCCCGAGCCCAGGGACTCCAGCGGTCTTGTTCCTGCTCCCAGGCCTCGGCTTTCTCCTGGTCTGCACAGCTCAGTCCCCAGCCACATCCCCTGCCCTGGGGTAAAGGAGCTTTCCACCCTTTCTGGCACAGGTCTCTGTCTGCGGGGAACCTGTCATCCATGGCAAACTAAAACTGCCGCCTGCATACAGCCATGCAGCAGCCCCTGGTGAGGCCTGGAGCAGGGCAGTCACCACCAGAAAACCCAGCAACAGCAGGAGGAATTCAGGGATGGGTCTAGCTGGCCAAACACACACCTTCCTCTCGCACGCTCTGCTGATTTGCACACCCGGCAACTCACGCCCACAGCCTGGCATGGGCCTTCCACCCCTGCCCACGTCCCCTCTTGCTCCATCCCGGCTTGTCTGAAGTTTGGGGCTAGCAAAACAAACCGTCCCGCGGCATCAAGCGTTGTGTCCCGAAGCCCCGCACAGCTCCTGCTTCCAGTGCCTCCGCTGCCCGCGTTCAAAGTCACCGGAGTCTAACAGGGGAGCGTCGGGGGGCATCTCTGGGCAATGCTGGCTGATAATGCCCACGGGCCCAGCGCGCACGTGTGCAGGAACAGCCTCCCACATGCCAAGCAGCCCCCCCCCTCCCTGAAAACGGCCCCCCCGCAGCAAAGCATCCCCCCCGGCCAACTGCCCCCCTCAGCTCTGCCTTGCGCTTGTGCGCGCATCTCCGCTCTCTGAAGCGGGGTGCCCGGCGCGGCGGGATCCTCTCCGGGGGGCGCGTCGCTGGCACCGCAAGGGCACCCGCACGGCTCTGGGGGGGACGCCAAGGTTTTGACCAGGAGCCCACAGCGGGGTCTCGCCGAGCCCCGAGCCCCCCAATTGAACGGCCTGCGGGAGCTGGCACTTTCCAAGGGAGCTGGTCCAGGGGGATGTGGGGGTGAGTCTGGCAAAGCAGCGGGGCTGGGGACCACCAGGATGAGCCGCCCCGCACCCAACACGGCCCGGCGGAGGGGGGCAGAGGGTGCCCGCGTCTCCCCGACCCCGCCGCAATGCCCCGGGCCGCATCAGGCCCCCGGGCACTTGCCCTTACCCCGTCCCCGCCGGAGCCCCGCGGGCGCCCCACAGACGTGCCGCCGCTGCCGGCTGATGCGCACGAAACTGGAGCGCGACGAGCGAGCCGCGCCGCAGCGCCCGCGGGCGGGACAAAAGCCGGGCCGCGCTGACGCCAGCGGCCGCCCAGCCAATGGGAGCGCGGCGGGCGGGGCACCTTCCTCGGGGGCTGGGACCTGCCAGCTGCCCTCCCTGCCCCGGGGCTGCAGGGAGCTGGGCGGGCGCCCGCGAGCCTCAGTGGGGCGAGGAGCGCACAGCGGTTGCTTTAGGACACCTCTGTATCACCTGCATTTTGGGGTGGGTTTCTGGTCTGGCCCCTGCATAAGTCCGAGTCTCAGACCTAGGTCCCCGGGGTCTCCCTTCCGTGAGAAGGGCGCTGGGGGTAGGCCGGCAGGCTCTGCTGCGGGCGAGAGCGCGGCCGAGCTGGGCTGATTTCAGAAGGAGGAAAGATCCTCGAAGGGGAGGGTCAGTGCTGGAAGGGCTGCAGCATCTGAGCATCCCCGCCTGATCCCTCGTGGGCCGTGCACCCCACTAGCACCGCCGCGCCGGCGCAGGGCTCCTTACGTTTCTAAAAATTAGCTGCAGCAAGGAGAGCCGTTGCCTGCAAAGGCAATAGGAGCGCAAGTCAGAGAGCTCTCCTGAGAGATTCAGATCTCATATCCCGGTATATAATCCCCGTGACCTATTAATAAAATCCATAGAAACCCTTCTCTGTATACCAAATAACAGTGCCTGGCTTCGGCCCAAACCGCTCTGTGTTTCCTCACTCCATAAATGATTTTACTGCACCAGGCATGATCGTGGTGTAATTGTATAGGTTTCCCCCCTTGCAGAGCATTTGTGGAGCTTACAAGGGAGATTTCCAGGGGGACTGAGCTGTTGCTGGAATGACCCCTGATCCCAGCTTTCCTCATCCGTTTGGGAAGTGGTGTAAGACTATCCGAAGCCACCTGGCCCCGTGAAGGAGCTCGCACCCCTCCGTATCTTTGTTTCAACTCTTACTGCCTAGAAACTTAACAGGCTCAAAAGCTTTGGCTCCCATCTGTCCGGGAGGCACGTAACGAGTAACGAACCGGTGTGTTGCAGCCAACAGACACATTTACTGGATAAATCGCGGGCGTTGCGCTGTGGGAGCCTGCACAGAGCAATGGCTCTTTAGCTTCAGAAATGAAGGCGTAAAGCAACACAGCTCTTCCTTTGAAGCGTCCTGCTGCTTTCGTGGGAGCCAAGTCATGCCAACACTGAGTCCTGCTGAAAATCCCACCCCAGGTGATTGCTCTTCTGTGAGCTTCTGTCACGTGCCAGAAATGCGTCTCTGGGGAAGACAGTGCATTCCTGCATTTCATTCCCTGGATAGAGAAATACTCCATAGGACCAGACGAGAGCACCGGGAAGGCAGTAAGAATAGCTGCCTTGGTCCATCTCACTCATTGCACGGTCTCCAACAGTGGCAAGTAACAAATGCTTCAGAGGAAGAGTATTAGATATAATACTAATCGCTCCAACACGCTTCTCAATATCCCTTACTGCAATGCTACGTCTGATCACCAACAATTTTCCACTTGGAGTGGAGCTGAACTGCTGAAGAAATGGTAAGTTTTTTAATATCAGCCAGCTCCAAGCCAAAACCAAGGCTACCCCAAACTCAATCATCAAGCTCCAATACGCTGATGATGCTGTTGTGTTGAAGGGTATGCTAACTTGGAAGCCAACCTTCAGGCAGTCCTCAACATCTTTACCGAAGTGCATAAGAAGATGGGACTGACACTTACCATTCGGCAGACTAAGGTCCTCCATGAGCAATTTCTTAATGGGCACCCCTAATTCAGATTTACGGTTAGACTTTGGAGAATATTGAGTATTTCCTGTACCTTGCAAATGCAGCCTTCGGATGCCTGAGGAAGCAGGTGTTCAAAAACCCTGACATCAGATTCAAAACCAAGCTCGTGGTTTATCAAGCAGTTGTGATCCCCACCTTACTGCATGGAGCTGAGATGTAGAAAACATACGGGAGACATCTCAAATCACTGGAGAAGTGCCATCAATGCTGCCTGTGGAAGATCCTTCAAATCCAGTGGGTAGACAGACACACTGGCGTTAGCATCCTCTCTCAAGCATCGAGGCGATGACCATTTGCCATCCACTTCGCAGGGCCAGTCACGTCATGTGCATGTCCGACTCCAGATTCCCGAAGCAAGTTTTATTCTCCCAGCTCAGTCAAGGCGTATGCTCAAGAAGAGGACAGATAAAGTGCTTCAGGGATGTCCTCAAGGCCAACTTGAAAAACATACATCCCATCAGCTTGTGAGAAACTTTTGCCCAGGGCCCTCTTCAGACCCACAGGTAAAGCAGTCATGGAAGACAATCATCCTCGACTGTGAGGGATTGCCGATGCCGATGATTAGATACAGGGCATGTGTAGACTGATCAATCCCCTGACATATCCTCCCAGTCACTAGCAGTACATTACCGCCCTGCCTGCTGTGTTTAATGGCCCCTGACGGACCTGTCCTCCATCAATGTATCTACTCTCTTTTTGAACCTGACTCTCATGTTGGCCTCCACAGCACACTCAGGCAATGACTTCCACATGTTCATTTATCACTTTGGTCAATAGGACTAAGTCAGCTTACGCTGGCTGAGGCACTGGCCCCGGATCTGCTGTTATTCTACCTCCAAAATAGCTTTCTCGAACATGGGTAAAGCCTGGGAAAAGCATAAACACAATACAGAGATACTTGGTTACAGTATTTTGATACAGTTGTCATGATGTAATCCTCCTGATTCGCATTAATCGCCTTTTCCACATTTATGCAGAGGATTTGTAAGCTTACATGCAATGGACAGTCAGTGTTACTGAGAACAGTCATTTCTTCTTTTTGGATGTAACTTCTAACAGTAGATTGCGCTGCATAATAATGATTTGGCTTTGTATGACTATACCTAACTTAAACTATTTGGGACTATATTTAGGTCCTGGCAGGATGTAAGAACATGTCCCTGAGTACTGACAACGTTCAACTGTGTTAAACTTAAAATTCTCCCATGGCTCCTCTTTAATACAACACCCTTTCTCACCTCCTGTCCTAAGTGGTGGCGTAATGCTGCTGTATGCTGTAATACAGTCAGGCTTTCCTACAGAAGGAAAGCCTGATTTCAGGGTGAAATCATTCCTATGCTTAGGAGATAAGTTGTGAGGGAAGGATACCTGCAAAAATAACAAGTAAGGACTAATACAATGTGAATCACTTGGGCTGCATCCAATGAAGGATGTAGGAACAAGTTAAACACCTTCGGTCACCTACCACCTGACTCCCAGTGGGAGATCAAGCCCACCTAACTCCATACATGTCTTGATTTTTCCTTTAAAGGTCCTGAATCCCCATAATCCTGAAACCTGCTCAGCTCTGTGCAAGAAAACACACTGACCAGCCACTACCTTCGAAAGAAGGCCAGGAGTGGATGGGAGTGCCCTCCTGCAGGCCTCAGTACTAGGGAAAATCCCAGAAAGGGACAGGCTTCCAGGCACACCCATCTTCTCTGTGTTTCTTGGTGGCATGTGTACATGCCACGTGGCATATGTACATACCACATTTTTTGCCCTTTCATGCGTTGCAACTATGTGTCTGTTTGCACGAGTGGGATTTCCGGATGCTTGAAAAGCCTTTCTTGTGCATTAAGTGCTAAGTGCTGAGTGCTGATTAGGCAGCCTCCTGCTCAGCCTGCTGGCTGTCTTGGATCCTGCTCTGAGGTGCCCTGCTCTGCCCATGCACTGTGCAGAGAGCCCACGGGCCTCGCTCAGAGCTCTGGATTGCGCACGTGGGGCCGGACACCTGAACAGTAGATGTTGCAGTCCTGCATTAGATCTGAGCCTCAGTCTAACACAGAAAGCTGTTGCTGTTACCTTGATCTTTGCAACCACAAGGATTTTTCCTTAGCCTGGTGTCTTGGGTGAACACGTAGGTGGAAGACATCTTAGAGAGCAGAGTTGGCCATTTTTAGATCTTCCATTGTGGTGTAGCCCTTCTCTGGCCATGTAACCAGTCCAGGAGACAGGAAGACTACAGCACAATCCGGTTAAATTCACCCAAACAAGGGGATGGGCTGTGATGATGAATTAGCCATGGATGACTAATAATCAGTAGTTAACCATTTTGGGGTTTTCATGCAAGGTGGTTTGTGTGTTGGATCAAGCCACAGTTAATTTTTTTTTGGCATTGACAATGAAGGAAAAATATATTAAGACAATTCTGAGGGCAAATTGTACACACTGTTGCTCTCTGTATGCAAACTGATGCATGATACAGCTCAGGGTCTATTGTACAATTTCAGATTACAAAAAGCACTTGCTATGTGGGACAGACATGAGTATGATGGGGTAAAATAATCAGGCAGAGATTTCTTCTTTTGTGTGTTTGCATGAACTCATTGCCCAGACAGAAGATAATTCTGCAAAATTGAGTGATTGACCATCTATGGCTTGTTGAGCCAAGAAAAGCTGAAGAGTATCCAGTGGTTTGCAAACTGACTTTCAGTCAGTGTCTTTCAAGTCAATGGATTACAGGAATGGATTCCAATGCAATTTAGCATGTGTATTTTTGGAAATGATTATGTTTTAATAGCTGCCGAGTTAGCCAGAGTGCTTTGTGTACAAATCAGTAAGTCTCTGGCAGGGATTAGTGTGCCAACTAATACAACCAATAATAATTTAAAAAAAATAAAAGTGATAGGCTAACCTAGTGATTACTTAACTAGATATCACTGGATGTGGTAGTACCTGGCAGCACAAGATGTGTTTAACTAAGAAGAGCCAGTGGCGCAAGTAGTGTGTGGCAGCTCCCCGGGCATTGCCTAAGCAGAGGGGCAGATAAAGAAGTCTGCCACCTCAGCCAAACCATGCCAGTGCTGACCACCCCCATGTGTGGCAGCTGCCCTGGGGGCCTGGCTGCATTGCTACACCACGGAGAAGAGCTGCAGTGTTCCTCCTGCATCCATTAGCCTCAATCCAGAGTCTGCACTGCATTCGCTGTGTGCATTTCCCTTGACAGAGTAAAGA